CTCTCAGTGCCACACACGAAGGGAGCTGCCAGCCCTGGACCCAGGTAAGGTTATGGGAAGACTGCTGGGATTAGGAGCAGTGGGGCTTCTAGGACTGCCCTGGTGATTCACTCTTTGTTCCAAGCTTTAATCAGCATCTAGGATTTGAAGCATGTCCTAAGTGCCCAACTCAAGATTCATGGATAAATCTTCCAACGAGCTAATTAATTCCTGCTCTGAAATCAATGGGAGCTTCATTTCTCCCCAGCACTGCTGAAAACCAGGGTCTTGGAACAGCCACAGAGAGCTCTGGTACCTACAATCTGTGAGCATTTTAAAGCCAAATTATTTTTTTCTATATATTCCTCACTAGTCTCTTGCATGGAATGTGAATCCTACTCCCATGCAGGGATGTAACAATCTAAATCATGTTCTGTTACAAAATATTGTTAATAGGGTAGTAAACAGTTCTAGGAATGGGTGAAATTTAGACCTAGAGAGTCAATTATCAAATATTTACCCTTCTTTTCCCAAAATAAATGCACACATTTCCTCTCTAATTTAGGTGCCAGGAAAATCCACTGCAATTCTTTAAAATTTGTAAGAATTAATGAAAAAGATCTTTAAATCTTGAAACCTCACATGTATTTGTACATTTCTCGCCATGCCTTTCTCCAAGGTCACCGGGTCTGATAGTCGCTGGTGGTTTTTTCACTTAAGATTTGCAAGGCTCATCTAGTTTAGCAACTTGATTTGGATAGCTGCCCTTTGGCAGATAACGCACATGTGGTAAGCCCTGTGCAAGGGAAAATGGTTTGAAATAAGTCATTCAACTTGTACTGCTTTTTTTCCAGCCACTACCCTTGCCTGTGGACAGTGAGCAACAGTGCCGTAAATGTTGCCAACCCAGGAAGCGAGGTGAACAGCAGCCCTTCAAGCATGTTCCTAAGGGGTAACGTCCCGTTACCCACTGCACCATCAGTCCAAATCCCTCTGCAGGGAACGGTGTCTGGCAGCATGGAAACACAAGGGGAAACTGCTCTGGCCAGACTGGCTGACTCTGCGTGGACATCCTCACACTCCTTTTAATGGCCGGGCAGCTCAGGAGGGGAGCTCAGCCAAACAAGACTGACACAAACGCCAAACAACCCCTAAAACTGCAGCCCAGAGCAGGGATGTGTATGCAGAGAACGGAATCCATCAAGCATCACTTTCCATAATGTACCTCTTGTGTGCCAGAGAAGCCAAAATGCATCCTGCAAAGGCAGGAAATGTTATGGGAACCAGCTTATTAGTGTAACCTTTATGCATAATTCAGGATGATGTCCGGAAAGAATCTTTATCATTAGTTTTGCTTCTGTATCACATAAAAAAATGGTCAGAGACATGGGACTGAGTGCAGCAGCCACGGCAGCTGGACATCTGCATGTCATTTTAAAAGTCCTTTCTGTAACTAACAGCCAAGTCCAGGGGAATTTGTGAGCAAGTTTCCAACTGGTAATTTGAAGGGACAGCGCTGCTTTAAAGCCTTTCTGAATCTGTCACACAAAGGTTTTCACAATACCTGAAACTAAACCCTTCAGGGGATGAAATTAGTCTGACACCCTAATGCCACCTGCATACAGCATTCTCTGTCCCGTTGCCTTCTCCAGCTCCCGTTTGCTGTTTGTGTGCTATAGGGGTAATGGACACACTCAAGCTGAGAAAGCAGCTGCATTATAGCAGCAGCATGAAGGGCATTTGGTTTAGCATTTATAGTCTGACGTGATGGTCTTTGAAATGAGAAGTTCCAATGCTTTCTATATGTGCTATTTTTGAAAGGGTGGCGGGAAAAGAATTATAGAAAAAAAGATTCAGCTTGCATTTCCATTTTGCTTCAGGTATAGAGTACAAATAAAATATGAATAAATGGTCTGTTATCTCCTCAGTGCCTTTCCAAGGTGTAAACACACATACAGTATTGTTTACCTAACTAATTGCCTCTGAGCAATTTAAAGAAGCTCCAGCAGGAGCAAGTTGACAGAGACAGGCATTTCCTATTCCTTGGCCAGTGACTGGCTGTATGCTCTTGGGCACGGTATTTTGTGTCTTTGTACCTGTTCCCCCCCTCACCTTCTGTCTATTTCAGCTTCCTTTTTCAGGGTACAGCTTTTCCTATCCTGTGTCCAATATCTAGCATAGTGGAGGCCTGATTTCTGGTCTGGGACTTCTAAACACTGTGATGCAGATAATAACAGCCATCCCTCAATCTTTCTTGTCCTCTCATGTGCCTCCTCAGACAAGCCCTATCAACCTCTCAAAGAGTGCTGCCATTTGGTCTCTTGCAGGGGTAAAGAAAAAATTGCAAGCTAACTCATGTAGATGTGTCTCTGTATAATGAAATGCCCAGCAGCAATTCAGGTCTGTTTACAGTCATGAGCATTGACAGGGGCTGGATAGATAGATAGCCCCTGAAGAGGAAATCCTCAGCATAGACATAGAAGAGGATTCTCCAAAGCTCCTGAGAGCTGGTGTCTCTACAGAGGTATTTCTGCTTCTGTCAGATACAGCAGATTCCCTTTGTGAGTACTCATTTATTGCATATAGGCTCTGGGAGCTGCATTCTATTTTGTGCAGACGTCAGGGCAGCAGCAAGAAGCACATTTTCATTCAGGCCATCAAATGTGCATCTGGCTGGTGAACTCAGCGAGCTCCTCTTTCATATTCTATTACCTCGGGCCTGAACCATCCCCTTAAGGTGCTCTCAGTGTTATGTATTTTATGACTTCCCCATCTGGCCCCATTGCTGCAGGCAAGACAATGTGCCAGGATGCACTCAGTAACGGTGTTAGTTGTACTGACTTGTGCTGCTATCCCCTAAAAGCAAAGTAATGAAGTTGCCTTGGATGTGCATTTTTATTAATAGAGGCCTTGGTCAAGCAGGAGCTAATAGAGTGCAGAAAGCTCTGTGACCTGCTATCACTCTAATCCTTGACAGTTCTGACTGTAAATCTGCCTTTCCACGTTCTGTCAAAAGCCTGGTGAGGAGTTTCTCAGTGTTATATGACTCTGCCTTGCAGCCAGAGATGTAAGTAGGTGTTTCCCTCAAAAATAGCTCTACTTTACACATGAGGTTTATTAACTAACTTATGCTACCCTCTTCTGGCTGTTCAGCTCCCCACACACACACCACATGCTGAGTCTATGCAAGATGGCTATCGATGCTAAAAAAAGGAAAAGTGGTGATTTTTCTACGTTACAGGACTTGTTATGCTTCCTTCACTGTTAATGAGTTGGAAAATTTCTTAGTTTTTCTATATACTGCATTACAGTAACAGAAGAGTGATTATAAGGTGTTACATACACTGCATTCTTATTTCACAAATAAACAATCTAGGAAAAAATCTAATTAGCTTTCCTGCTAGGAAAGGACAGGATTGAAAGGATAAAAGGCAGAGTAGTTTTTCTTTCCTATCCCTGTAATAGTCTCATGTCACGAAGGCAAAAAGTTCTGGGATTCAGAAAAAAGCTAAGTTTTTGTCATTGCAGACCATCTGATTTAGCCAAAGCCTGAGAAATTACATGGAGGGATAAAAATACCCTGGGCTTGCTCACTACCTTTACGTTTTGTTACTTTGGTAAAGGCTTTGAGAATTGGTATCTGACTTCTAAGGAGCAATGGGAGCACTGAAGAAAGCTTTTGCCACTTGTTGACAAGAAAAGCTGCTGGTTTAACTTTGCAGATCTGCTTTCCCAGCACAGTTGAGTTCCCTACAGCGCAGTAACAGGCTGGGATGCTAGCTGCACCCTTTTCCCATGGGAGGCAGATTCCCTTAAACTGTATATAAACCATTCCCCTCCTGATAATTATTATTGTACATCTGGTTTTGCAACTATAGTGCCTTTGTTCCCCAACAGATTTCTGCTTGCCATTATTAACCATACAATAATAATTTCTGACAGAATATTTCACCGGTTGCTATAAGCAGTAACTGAAATCGCAGCAAGAGAAGAAAGCAAACATGCCCCACCATCCCAGTTTTCATGTGTCCTGACAAAGTCACTTCTTGATTTTGTGGAAAAGAAACACATTAAGAGACTGGAAGAGCTCTTTTGAGGTCTTCATGGTAAATATGCTACCTGGTATTAATGACAGTTCATGTATTTCAACTTAACTCGATTATGGAGTCTCTTGGCCATGAAACACAGGAGGTTTTGTGCTGACTGAAGAGCAGCGCTGGGCGCACGGGCTGTGAGGCAGCCATGCCCTACCTGTACCTGCACCCGTCCAGCTGCTCACCTGCACAGCTGGGAGTGCAAGAACTTGGGGCAACATCTCACAGAATCACAGAATTGCCTAGGTTGGAAGAGACCTTTAAGATCATCTAGTCCAACCATAAAAAAAACCCAACAAAATCGCACACCCCACACCAAAACCCAAACAAAACACACACACCAACACTAAAACATATTTCCAAGCGCCATGTCATAGAATCATAGAATCATTCAGGTTGGAAGAGACCCTTGGGATCATCGAGTCCAACCATCTACCCTACTCTACATAGTCCTCCCCTAAATGTCAATTCACCTTTTGAACATCTCCAGGGAATCGCCAGGGATGGTTCATCAAACACTTCCCTGGGCAGCCCATTCCAATGCCTGACAACTCTTTCAGTCAAGAAGTTCTTCCTAATACCCAACCTGAACCTCCCCTGACGCAACTTGAGGCCATTTCCTCTTATCCTATCACCTGTAACTTGGGAGAAGAGACCGACCCCCACCTCTCTACAGCCTCCTTTCAGGTAGTTGTAGAGAGCGATAAGGTCTCCCCTCAGCCTCCTCTTCTCCAGACTGAACAACCCCAGCTCCATCAAGACTTACTCTTCAGACCCCTCACCAGCTTCGTTGCCCTTCTCTGGACCCGCTCCAGCACCTCAATGTCTTTTTTGTGGTAAGGGGCCCCAAAACCGGACACAGTACTTGAGGTGGGGCCTCACCAGTGCCGAGTACAGGGGGACGATCACCTCTTGGGTCCTACTCACCACGTTGTTCCTCCATATAAATCTTCACAGAATTAGAGGGAAGAGCCATTTGTTTTCAGTTTCAGCAGGGCTTTAGCACGGTACCCAGCTACTGTATTGAGAGGCTGCAAGGTGGGTTCGTGTGACACCTCATATAACTGTATCCAAAAAAAAGAGGAGTGGGGAAAGGATTAGTAAAAACATAAGATCTAAAGGGTAGAAAATAACCCAAAACTTTAAGAAAAGCTGTTTTGCCTCCGATGCCGCAGTCTCTTCTCCAAGGTCCGCAGCAGTAACAGGGCCCACAGGGCCCTCCGTGTCCCCGCTCCCCCGGCAGGCCGACCGGCCGGGCGGGGAGGGACGCTGTCCCTGGCAGCAGCCGCTCTTTAACCCCTCCGGTGGCCTTCAGCGGCCGCTGAACTGGGGCTTCCCCTCAGCTTTCCCGGCACCGCCCGGCCCAAGCGCCTCTCCTGCGGCCATTTTGGGCAGGCGATGCCTCGGCCCCGTGGGGACGGGCGGTGGCGGCGGCTCCCCTCCTCCCCCGGCTGATACCGTCTGCGCTACCCGGCGTCCGGGCCGGTGTCCGGGCTGGCTCTGTGCGGCGTGGAGAGATCGGCAGCCTTTCCTGGGGCAGCAGCAGGCTCCCAAGGCACTGCCGGCCCCAGGCCCAGGCTGAGGCAGGTATCTTTACTCTCAGGCTTTTCCTTCAGGGTTTATTTTCCTGGCGCTGGGGCAGGTGTCCTCCCAGGGAGGCCTGTGGAGAAGCTTTTCCCTCCGAGGGTGGCCCGCAGCTCCTGGGGTAGCTCCTGTTTTAAGCCTGCAAGGAGGGCTGATGCCTGTGGCATGGCAGGTGGGCCTAGCAGCCTGACTAGCCCCATCCATTGCCAAAAATCACACCTCCTGTGCTTCCCTCTCTCCTTGCTGGGTCCCTTTGTGCCACAGGTTGTTCCAGCCCTCATGCCTCACCTCACATGCCTGCGTTCACCACAAAAGAGGGGCTAGATGGCTTCTGATGTTCCCATCCACGACTGTGGAGATTAAAGGGAATGTCCCTTAGCTCCCTGAGAGGCAGAAAAGCAGAAAGCAGGTAAACACCAGTGTCCTGAAGCCCCCAGCAGAACCCAGACACTTCGTGCTGAGCCATCCCTGGGTCCCCATCAACACAGGCATCTGTGCCTCTGTTGCCACTGGAGAACAAGCAGTAGGTAGCCTCCTCAGAAGCAAAATTTCCCCCTTCACACCCTTGTCCTGCCTGTTCCCCCCCCAAGTAGGCTGTAACCTGCCCTCCCCAGGAGATCCTGCCTCTGCACTTGCACTGGACGCCATGTTGCTGCTCACCACCCCTGTGGGTCTGCCCGCTTCACCTCTCACAGCAGGCTTGGCCAAGGTATTTCTGAGTTCTCAGCTTATCAAGCGCTCTCAGGCTTACAAATTTTGGGGTGTTTTGGGGATTGTTCAGTGAGGAGGTCGTCCCAGCTGCGGAAATGCTTTAGGATGACTGCCCGGTTTTTCCTAATATGTACTGGTGCAAAAAACAGGCATTTTGAGAAGGCTGGGTGTTTGACTAGGCACAGGATAAGTCCCTGCTGCATGGCAGAGTTCACCCAGGTTTGTAGTGAACAGAACAAATCAAAATGCCACGGCCTGGTTCCCAAAACACTTCCTAGGCATGGTTACATCTGTTTGTAAAGGCCACTTTTGCCAACAAAACTCTGCAATGCTTTTGGCTGGAGCATTGGCTCAGCACCAGCGGAGGCAGAAGGGTGCTCCATAGCTAATCTTTATGCTCCATATCTATGCTTCTCCACAGCTAATGTCTGCTGGGAGGATCTTACTTTCTCATCCTCTCTGTGACTCACACTGAACTGTTTTGCTTGCTTTGTGTCCTCTGCGCACACATACTATCTCAGCCACAACACTGAGGGAGTTCAGGAAGTCAGCAGTAGCTCTGGTGAACCATCTGCCCGTCTGTCCATCCATCCATCCATCCATCTCTTCTCCTGTTGGAGAGATGGCCCTTGAAAGGCCCACTATATGCTGTACTCTTTGTAACTTCTGGCCTTGATCTTTTGTTTTTCAAGGTGTCTTTTAAGGATCAGTTTATGGTAGTACGTGCTGTCCTATAAGAGGACATTTGTATATTGCAGTTTAGAGATATTTTGCTATAATCTGTGCGTGTTCATCCTTGCTTTCCTGCTGCTTTCCTCTTGCTTTCCCAGTGTGGGCTCTCCACAATAGTGCAACAGTCACATTAAGGTACCCTGGACTGAGATCTGGATTTAATTTTTTTTTTTGCATCCTACATTTCTGGAGTATCTACAACTTTGTGTTCAATACAGACATGAACTATTTTTGTAAAATATGGATCATTATTTGACTCTGAAATGCCATGCGGCTTGCAGGGTATGCAGAAGAAGTTTGCTTCTGTATTGATTCAATCAATCACTGGAGCAATCACAGATTGTCTGAGGAGATAGCAATTTTCTGAGTGGTAGATCAGTTTCCACAGTCCTAGCCTTTTAAGAAAGTTGTGTCACATCTTCTGAATCTGTAAAAAAGACTTGGTAGTGTCCAGAAAACTAGGCCTAGCTGCAATATTTCCATTTTCTCCTGTTTTTTTTGACCTATTCTACTATGAAATGTCAATTCTCTGACTCTGCTGGCTGGAATTTAGCAAATGCAGAAATAGGGAGAGAACAGCTGGTAGTAAAGCTAACAACACTTTTAAACTTAGAAAAATCTGAAATGTTGTGCTCTTAGAAAGTATTTATGTCAGTTTAAACTTAACTGCTACAGTTTGTAAATGCCGAGGTGTGACATTGAGTACTTGGTTCAGCACTGGTGTAGTTTTGTCCTAAATCTGGTTCTGGGTTCTCGTCCTCGGGCAGATCCTCTGTGCAGCTCCCCTGCGTTCTGTGTTTCTGTTTGCTCTCAAAATGAGCATAGTAACAACTGATAATATTTAACCGTTTTTATATTTTATCCATACAAACTGGTTATACAGGTACGTAGGTTAAAAATAATCCTAATGGCTGTAATTCCACCTAATGGCTGTAGCTATTGTGTGTCATAGTCTGCTAGGCCTGCAGCAACAAAAAGTAACAGTCCTTACCACAGAGCTGCTAATGCTTGCTATATGGTTTGAAGGTCTCTCATTAAGATGTTATTGAAACATAAAGAGTGAGTGATTTTTATGGTGAGTTGAAGGATACGCTCAGTTTTTAAATGAAGAATTGATGGGGAAAGAGTGAACTAGGAGAAGATGTGAATTATCTGGACTGAATGCCTATGGTTTTCATAGACTTTCTGTGGGACTTTGCATAAATGACTTAACAGCCTCGTTGGTCAAGTGCCTCTTTTTTGTCTCAGGGGCAGTGTTGTATGAGGCAGTTTCTCATCTGAAGACTTGGCATTTTGCCTTTCTCTCAACATCTGTAGTGGAAGACCTGTGGGGTAGGAGTTTCACTTCCTGCACGTACATAGAGCACGGCAAAATGAGGCCTTGTCTCGCTGGAGCCTTTTGGCATACTCTTAGGCATAAAAATTAGAGAGCCTTGAGTGTTTGTACAGGTATCACCTGTGGAGACAGCAGTCAGGAGTGCTGTGGTCCTGGTATTCTAAAACCTGTGAGCCGAGTTCCGAATAAGACATTGTTGGTGTTCCCAAAATACAGCCTGACTCCTAGAAGGAAGCAGTCTGTTTAAGAATTCTGCAGTTCTGGATGATGCCACAGAAAGTCTTTTATAATGTTTGAGAAATCTGTTTCCCAGGCTGTACCTTTGCAGTGAAATCGAGCTAAAGCTGTCTTCTGTCTTTCTAGGTGGCTCTCTGAAAAATCAAGAAAACTCCCACATAATTCACCTCACCTTAACTTTTGTGACAAACCTGAAACTCAGACCAGATTTAGACCTGGACCAGGACAGACTTGTGGGCTTTGCGAATTGCAGAGATCTTACCTCTCACCCATGAGCCCGGGCTGGGCACTGCCCGTGCAGCACATGTAGTGTTCAGAGGGAAGAGTGGTGTTTGCTCTACAAACACAGTAAACTGGGAATCCCTGCATGTGAGCAGGGGCAAAGCTGTATAAGGCACTGGTTTTTCTGAAGCTACCCACAGGCTCTAGGGATCTGCAGGGTCACAGGGTGGTGGTACTTCTTTCCTGATCGCCTAACTGCATGGCCGTCAGCTTGTTCATTGGTGCAGAAGTTCAGGAGAGTACTCAGTCTAACAGAAAGCTGGCATCGGACAGGTCCTGCTCTATATGAAGTAACTCTAACTTGGCAGACTGAAGGGCTGAGGTGGCTCTCCTGGGCATGAGGGAGCCAAGTTGTTTAGGGGCAGGCTTTCAGCTACTGTGAAATTCCTCTGTGCCATTGGAATGGGTTTCACCAGCTGAGCATCTTCCTTTGAAACCCTAAAGTCTCCAGACTAAGCAGTTTTAGTCCTAGGACAAGCTGTGTGCGTATGTCTGCATGTGTGCCTGTGAATACTTTGTATTTGTAACCTTCCCATTACAGTAGCTGGCAGAGAGGAAACTGCCCTTGTTCTCTATCTGATATGTCTGAATGTCCTCAGGTCCTTGCTGTCCCCTGCTATGAAACTTCCTCTCCGCACAAGTAAATATCCAGACAAAAAATCAATTTCTGTAATGTATGGTGGTCATTTGAACCAATTTTGCCCTGAAAAGTCAAATGTCCAAAAGGGACACATTGCTTTTGATCTACTCTGTCAGCATACAATAAAATGTTTCATCCAGATTTATTTGAATCTTTGATTTCAGTCACCAAAAACTGACCTTTTTTTTTTTTTTGTCATTGCTTATAGCAAGAAATTTAGTTTCTGGAGCCTTTAAATGTTTTAAATAATTTCTGTGTTAGAAGGGTTGATTTAAATAGTCAACCTAGGAATGTGGGGATTGGCAGGGAGCTCTAGGAGCATGCTCTATTCCCCTGCCATTGGAAGGAAAACAAAATTCATTTTATAAATGGATCAAGCTTTCTTGGAATATTAATTGAGGCTTAGGACCCAGTGGCCCAGTGAGAAGGCTGACATTTAGAGAGCTTATTTCCAGTCTAAATGTGTTTATGGTTAATTAGTAAACATTAGTTCTTGGGCTGGCATTGTCCCTTAGCTGAAATTATTAATTTATTCT